GACAGACAGACAAAAACAACGTAGCAATATCAGCCAGCTTGCCAGGAAGAGATCATAGCAGCTTAGCCGAGTTTTCTTAGACAATAAAAGAGCTTTTTAAAGAAGGCTTTGAAGAGAAATAAGATGGTAGTTTTAGCCAGCTACAGCTGAAGAATTAAGTCAGCACCAGATAACTAAGTATCATGACAAGTTTGGGGGGGAGGGGGTATTTTTTTGCTTTAATGCATTACACAGCACACCTTTCTCTTCACTTAAGAAACGTATTATTCCAGCAGCAATATCCCATTCCTTGGCAAATGTCTCATCATTTCTGTTCTTTTATGGAAGCCAGAGCCACAACTCAAAACTGTCTCCAACCAAATCCAATTAGCACTGCTTCATCCTACATGTTACATGTACAGAAGTTTAATCACTAGAGAACAGGATGTACTTTAATATACACCAATATCTTTAGCATGTCACTTTGCAGCCTTGTACATATTAGCGTATAGTTGTTATTAAGCATCGACTGTGTATTATTAAGTATTTTACAAGTCAATACAGAATCTCATGAACCTGTAACTAAATCCCTTAGACTTACTGTGAATACACACTAAAAATCCATCCCCTCCTGTGTGCGTGCACGACAATCACCTCCTAGGTCCTCTGTAAGGAGGAGACTGGCCCCACCACTGCTCGACCTAGGAAGTATGACATAAAAGAGATGCCATTCCTCTCTGCCACTGCCTAATCTGCAAACTGAGTCCCGGGGATCTTGGCAGACAGTTTAAGCTCTCTCTCGCTTCCATCTCTCGTTGCTTGGACCAAGAAACCCCTTAAGTTACCTCATTCTGCATTTAATTCTGTACACGTTGAATTTCAGCATTCCTTTTTACATCAGATCCATAGAAGCTGGCAGAGGAGAAACTCGCCAGCTTGCCTGCTAGCTTTACTTTGTCCAATGAACTGTCATGTCTTCTAGAGAGCAGATTAGAGAGGGGAAAAAACCCAAAAAACTACAACACTTGCAAAGCAATTCATCGATTGTTCTTCGGTTAAATTGCTTTGGCTTGAAATGAACCATTTGCCCAGGTATTGATCCCTGACTGCTACAAACTGAACGTCATTCACGTGTGCAGTGCTGCGGCGCACAGCTCAGCTGAGCAGCAGCCTCACACAGTAAGGGCACCTCGCCAATCGGCTACTGCATGCGAACCGAAACACCTACACGCTGGGTGCTTAACAGGACGATATCAGACGTACTATTAACTGTTGCTAAAGGGCTTTCAGTCAAGACGCTTAAGAAAGATTTCCAAGCCTAAAAACAAAGACTGCAAGCTGAACAACAGCGACTGACACCAGCTGAATTCATAGACAGGCACAATTTCTTTTGGGTATATTTATTGTGAAAGCTAACGTATAAAAACGGAAGCAATCTAATCTCTTTGCTGTTGCTCACAGGCAGACTGGTGGTACTTACAGGCTTTCAGATTTCATCTCTCCGGGTGACTTTCTGTCCGGGATTCGCCTGGACACACAGCTTCGGAGGCAGACACGATACAGCCTATGCCCAAGCTTCGAACTGGCCAGGTCTGCCCTGGGACTGTCACCAGCTGGCCAAGCCAATGTACCTCTAGTAACAGTAATTACAGACATAAGACTACATTTATCACGCTTGTCTCTTTCAGCTTCTTTTTTGAAAAGTAGGTACCCTAAAATTGCAGAATTTCAAATGCTGTTTCAGCAGTGAAACACTAATGACTTGAAGTTATACTTCAGCCTGAAGCTTTTCTGGATTTCTGCTTAATACTGCAAGAAACAGCATAGTTAATGTTTTTCCTGTTTTCCAATTTTAATAGCTTTCATTTTCTAGAATCCAGGCTGATCCCACTTTTCTTTTTAAAGAAACAAGCCCCTTTAAAATACTTTTTTGTTTTTTCCCCCCCTCCATGGAACGTCACCTAACTATTTTAACTTGTTGCACTTCAGGGTGCATAAGAGACTAAAACATACGGCAGTTTCAAATAATACAGAGTGGGAGACTTTTAGATGGACACTTTTTTTTGTCTAACCCACAAACTCCTATACATAGACCACAACATTTCAAAATTCGTTTTTACTTCTGGTGTCACGTCTCTGATCTTTATGGATAACCAGCAGAAGAGCTGCTGCTACAATGAAAGCTTGTTTTTTCTGCTTGAGAGCAAACTTTGGCAGCTTTTTCAGGTAGAGAGCAGGAAAGCACAGGAACTCGCACTCAGAATTTTAAAGAGGTCCCTTTTGTATTTCATGAAATTCTGTGTACCTCTACACGGCTTTTTAGAGGGAGATGCGTGTTTATTCTGCCTACCTTCTGAAGCAGAAGCAACGTGTTTGTGCAAAGTGCAGACCTAGCCCATGCTAGCAAGCTGCACAAAGAAGCAAAACTAACTTGTTTGTGCCGCGCTACCTACTGCAGCTATCCGTTTTTAGTTGACTGATTAGCTCTTTCTACAAATGGTGATCAGCAACTGCAAGTTGACAGTAACTATTGCATATACATATTCCAGGCCAAGTTGTGCATAGTCTTTCAGCACACAAGGAAGAGGGCACTTTCAGTCATCGGTTCCTCGGTTTCAGAAAACCATGCAGCACTCGGGCAGGACAGCCCTGGAGAGGAAGGGGGTGAAGACCAACACTGAATGTGTTTTTCGCACTCAGTTTAGCTACCGTTAAGGGTCACAACCAGGAACATACAACTAATGCTAGTTTTTCAGAGTTTTACATCCAAGTAACATTATGGATTCAAAGTTGTAATTGATCCACGTTAACCTCGTGGCTCACTCTGTATGTCTAATCATGTTTTCACATGCCACTTCCCAGATTTAAGGGACATCATTACCTGATTCAGTTTTCCTCTCTCCAGATACTAATTTTTAGAGTTGTTTATCTGTTGGTCCATTTTATTAAGCTATGGCACCTCACCACACACCTACACAAACAATTTTAGGAACTAAGTCAGTACCCTATTTATTCACGGCTTAATTGGAATAACTATAAGATATCTGTAATATAAACTGTTAGAAATCATATGGTATTATCTGTCCATTTTTTCACATGCAGATATTCTTACATAAGACAGACTGAAGCTGCAAAAGATCCTGCTTGGTATAAACCAGTTCCAGCCATATAAAGATATTTGTGAATTAATTCAAAAAAATGTAATCTTTCCTGTGACGAATTCACACAGTATTTCAGTTGTATATGGATAACCCTCCTATGATTTGAAAGCGTCACTTTTGAATTCAAGAGCCTACAAGCAAATGATCTCTCCAAAACTGTTAGCTCAGCAGATAAACATTAAGAAACACCCATACTGACTGGCAATCCAGGATGTTAAGAATTAACCCATCTTTCAGTTCTTAAAGATATTTAGGATTCAACCAGGTAAATTTTCCTGGTGCTAAGTGACATTTTTTGATCTGACAATCCCTACTGATCTATGATTGAAGGAATACACATACAAAACAAAAAGATCCCCTTTAATAGCTCTAAAGGTAAGTACCCGTATGAAAACACGAGCAGATCATTAGCAGCAGCAAAAATTTACAGCAAAAAAAGAGCATTCTTGCAAACACTTCTTTCACAGTCATGTGTATTCACTGTATTTGATTTAACCAACCATAAGGAAACTTCCTTGCCAACTTTTCTTGACATTGGTTTACAAGCTATGCTAGCTGCAGAAGACAGCTGCCTACTTTTTCTATTGAACTGCAGCAATAGTGGATTTTCTGCAGCCCATTTGTTTCTAGTAAGCAGAGGATATGACTTTCCGCACTTCTCATGAAGGTAGCGGCATACTTACCAACTAGGCTAGGATAAAAATTGTTTCCTTCCACTGCCACTGAATATCCATTGCATTCTTATTAGACTGGAGTGATGGGATACGCCAAGATTTAATCCAATAGTAAAGAATAAAAAATACACAGTGCAATGTGGCCCCCAACATGAACTGTTTATATTCCAGCTACATGTAATTTAGCATTTGACCATTTTATGTTGCCTCTAAGAACACATTTGCTATGGTGCTTCATGCCTTCCATGCTTCCTTCACTTTTATTTATGCTCTAGCCACCCAAAACCAATTCCCTGAAATGCATCAGACCAACATCTGAATGATAACATATCTGTAAGAATATGCAAGGAAGATGCATGCACTTTCTTTTTCTTGTAAATCCCACAGCATGGACAATCATAAAAGCATGGACAGTAACACACAAAATAATTACTCTATACATCAGAGGAGTGCGTTCCATAAGAGAATATTCAACAACGTCTTGCCAGTTTACACAATCCAGGGACCTGGTCCCAAAGGAGTAAGGCCCAGCTCACCTTAACTCATTTCATCAAATGAAGTGACTCATTTCATCAAATTCAAGATAACTAACCAAGATAATAAGATTTGCTGCTGTGATTAAAGGTTTAGTGATAGGAGTCTATTAAGCTATTAGGAAAATTCACTACATATACAAAAACAGTGAAACGAGATTACTTAGCGAAATTGATGGGATCGCTTCCTTAAAGCAAGCAGGACATTTTTCACAAGTTTACTGAAGCTGCTGGATTTAACCCAATTTAACAGCAATCTTTATTAATCAGTTATTAATCTTTATCATCCACTTAGATGAGAGTTTTATTGAATTACAGCATACGAAGTTATTTTACAAAATCAATAATGAAAGCAGCATTAGTCATGTAGGTCTTTACACTCAAGTTCATTAAAGCGTTGGTGCCAGTCGCCAGAAACCTAATGGGCATTTTAATAAGAGAGTCACGAGCATGTTCAGAGCATGCCGTAAGAAGGAACTAAAGTAAGAGTAAATGCAGAAGAGAAAGAGGGATCCGAAGCTTTCAGAGCAGAGAAGCCCCGGCCTCGAGGCGCGCGCATCCTCCTCCTCACCACGGACCAGGGAGCGGGAAAACAAACATTATTTTCCTCGACTTGGTGGGGGCAAAAGCAGAGGAAGAAGGAAGGCTGTTACCGAGCAGGAGGAAGGAGAAGATCCACTGAAGCACCGCGACTGTCTGGATCCTCCTCCTCAGGGGGACGTTGATGGGGGCAAACTCGACCTTCATGCTGAGCGTGCCCGGGCGCAGCGCGGCAGGCGGCGGCAGAGCAGCGCGGAGAGGCGCGCACCC